ATATAGAGCCTAGGTATATTTGGGATCATGTTTATGGAGTTAATAAAAATATATTTTAATATAAAAATCGCCGGTAAATAATGTAAATAATAATGTAGAAAGGAGTAATATAAAGCATTTTTTCTACAGGATTTAATTCTTCACCACTTCTAAAATTCCTTCTAAACGGCAAGTATGCTGTTTGGTAAAACCTTTACATACAATCTGAGGAATTTAGATATGGAAGCTATATTGGAATTTGAACCGTTTTTATGTAAACTTGAGACTCAACTAATCTATACTCCATTCACAAAGTTATTTTGAGCACCACCGACATGAACTCTGATGAAATTAAATATCCGACACACGTAATTCAAGGTAAATCCAACACCATATTCGTATTTCAAGCTTTTATTAGAATGCGCCGTCCGATAATCCATTAAATGCAAACAAACTAACATTTGGGAGGCACTGTTATATGGGGACTATTTTAAAAAGTGGGACAATATTAATAATAATTAGTAGGAAGCTTCGCTTTGGTTAACAAATTACAACCACTTTCCTCTCATAATTTTTTCGCATTGACATGGCCACCAATAGCAAAATTGTCACTATTGGAACTCGAGAAACCCAAGAGTTATTATTGAGAGAACTTTCCATTCTCAATTATTTACTGATTGTGGTCAGTGGGCTTCACTTTTTCAAAAATGAGGTTGGATTAATACTTTTCCGTGGTCGGATTTGGTTCGACACCGCAACGTGGCGTACAAGCAGTAGAAGATAAATTCAACTCTAACAGACCAGAGTCGATGCTAGACGTCAAAGAGAACATAAAGCAGCTACTTTAGGATTTGGTCCAGGAAAATAAGGGTCAGATATTGCAATGGTGTCAAATGGTCATATGGTGTACGCATATTGAAAATGGTTTCCGGAAAACAAACAACAAACAAAAATGTAAAATTTCAGCCGAATGGAAAATGTCCCTAAGACGACAGTTTTAGGCTCAGTTTAATATACCTTAAAGCAACATTGACCAATGCGGTCAGAACATTACATAAGCCAAAAATTTACCGGGTCCCAAAAAATACCTGTAAAAATACCGGGTTCCCAGCAAGAAATCAGTATCCCTATTTACAGGATTTTCTGTGGAAAAAGGCTTTATCCTTAAAAATAGTTAATACTTGGATATGTCACAAAATGGATCTATTCCCAAAATAGTTTGCTACAGCAACGCTCAATGTGTGCCAAATTGCATCACCGTTATTATTTTCACCATCAAGGATTCTAATTGCCGATTTGCATAGAGCTACTGCTCAATTACCAACCTTCGTTATATAGTGGCTATAACAATTAAGAGCAGGAAATGTCAAATTGTAGTAAGGTTGTAACCTTGACAACTTCGGCCAATGTATTTTTATGCAGTGAAAATCGGTTATTTTTTCCATCAATAACCCAGAATACTAACTTACGTCCTCTTCATTTGAAAAATGCGAATAAAACATATAAATATATTGAAAATCTGCAATGTAATTTGACCACACATACAGATAAGGCTAAGTCTACATAGAATTTTATTCTAAACAAGAATAATAATTCTCCGACGAAATGTTACAGACAGAATGACAAAATCTCTGGAATATATTTCAAATCTTGGGACTTTGAGCATTACACAAGTACATTTTGTAACATCGTGAATATAATTGCACCACACTGTGGTGCAGGGTATTACGTCTTTGTGCATATGTTTGTAACAGGTAAAAGAAAACGAGATAAACCCTAGAATATGCATAGACTCACTTTCTGAATCGATTTATGTATGTCCGTCCGTCTGGCCGTGCTAAATTGTAAACAAAGTACAGATCGCAATTATGATCCGAATTGGATGAAATTTAGCACAGCTCATTTATTTGGCCCAAGGTCGAACCCTATTAAAATTGGGAAAAATCGGGTAAGATTTAGATATAAATCCCACATATAATTTCGTCCGATTTTCAGTAAATCGTGCACCAAAGCCCCAAAATATAACCGATTGACAAAAAATTTCGCACAATGTACTGAAGTCACTGTAACATAACGTGTGCCAAATTTCATTAAAATCAGTTCAGTTTTAGATATAGGGGAGAGGGGGCACCTTTGAACGTGGGGCACCTTTGAACAGCGCTCATAAAATCTTGGTTTAATATTTTTCCGACCCGCAACCACATTTTTGTATATGGCAATCTTGTTCTCTATATGCGTAAACCACTTTGGTTTGCTTTTTCAGTTGTCGAAAAATTGTGCATGGGTGACCATGTTTCCTCAGTGTCATTGTAAACATTTATTTATTTGGTTGTAAGGGCGCAGGAAGAATTCTGTGATAGTTTTCTTTCGTCAAACAAATTTTTTGCATTCCAACAATCATTTCAAACATAACTAATGTAATTTCTTTCATATATATTTATTACAAAAAAAGTTATTTTAAATTTCCGTAAAATGCCATGGGTGGGGCACCTTTGAACATGTCCATTAAACTCGAGTAAAAAAAGGAGTTTTTAACTTTAGGCTTCGATTTCTCAAAATTTCAAATGGGCTAATAAGATTACGAAATTAACTGTATTTTTCACCATATTAATTTTTGTTTTTAAGTCATTTTATGTTTTAATAACTTTTGATCTAAATTTTTTAAATTTTGAACATTTTTTATATTTTTTTTTAATGAATTAATGCATTTCTGATATGTATTAATAAAATACATACATATTTAAACATAAACACTGTAAAAAACAATGTCGTTCACAAATGTCAACTTTGAGTTCGTTCATTAAAACAGTAATAAAATATATTTATCAAGCTTATAGTGTGTCATATGTATATTCATTTTGAAGGTTACATATGTACCTATTAGTTAAAATTTATAAGAAACCAAAAATTATAAAATAAAAAATTTTATAAGGCTTGAAAGCAAAAAGTGTTCAAAGGTGCCCCCCTCTCCCCTATGATGCACCAAACCACCAAAACTTGTCCAGTTGACACAAAATTTGGCATAACGCACTGAAGTCAGGATAGCCTTATGTGCGTCAGGTTTTATTGAAATCGGTTCTGATTCAGATATAGCTCCCACATATAGTTTCATCCGATTTGTATACCCTTCACCACACTGTGGTACAAGGTATTATGTCTTTGTGCATATGTTTGTAACAGGCAAAAGGGAACGAAAAAGATCCATAGTTCATTTAGAGAATATGCATAGAATCACTTTCTGAGTCGATTTATGCATGCCCGTCCGTCCGTCCGTCTGTCTGTCTGTTGGTGTTAAATTGTAAACAAAGTACAGGTCGCATTTATAATCCGAATTGGATGAAATCTGGCACAGCTCATTTGTTTGGCCCAAGGACGAACCCTATTGAAATTGGAAAAAATCGGTTCAGATTTAGATATAGCTCCCATACATATTTTCGTGCGATTTAATGTAAATGGTGCACCAAGGTCCCTATATATCTGAAAATCGTCCGATTTCATGTAAAGTCCCTATATATCGTTAGATTTGCACGAAATTTGATATAACGTACTGAATTGAGCCTAGAATGATGTCTGCTAAGTTTCGCGAAAATCGGTCACGATTTAGATGTAGCTCCCATGTATATTTTCGTCCGATTTAATGTAAATGGTGCACCAAAGTCCACATAATTTGTCACAAATTTGGCATAGCGTACTGAATTGTTGCTGGAATGATGTGTGCTGAGTTTCGTGAAAATCGGTTCAGATCTATATATATATATTTTCGTCCGATTTAGTGCAAATAATGTAGCAAAGTTTTTATGTTCTATATCGTATTGAATTTAATCCAGAATGATGTGTGCCAAGTTTCGTGAAAATCGATTAAGATTTGGATATAGCTCCCTTATAGATTGACTTTAAGTAATTGACGCACCAAGGAACCAATATATGGTTAATAGGAGCAACACGTACTGAAATTTATATAATCTAACCTGTGACAAGTTTCGTTGAAATCGGTTCATATTTGGATATTTTCGCCCGAGTTTAAGTAAATTGTGCATTAAAATCCTCATGTTTGTCAGATTGACATCAAATTTTGCACAACGTACCAAATTGAGCATACGCTAACGTAGTTGCGTTTTCTAGAAGTACAGACATAGCCCAACGGATGACCTATTGATGTTTGTTTGAAGTCGATTTACATACATTTGTCCCATTGTAACAAACGAATGACATGTTTAAGGATAGATCTAGGCCGATCCCATTTAGATAAAAATCACATATTTTATTTCATCCAATTTCATGATAATAATCCTGTTAAATATACCCATAGTGGTGTAGGGTATCATATAGTCGGCCCCGTTCGATTTTACTATTTTCCTTACTGGTTAATTAATGTTTCACCAAAGCTCCAAAATATGGCCGATTTTCAAAAAATATTGCACAACGTACTGATGTTAGGATAACCTAACGTGCTCCAAATTTTACTGAAATCGGTTCAGATTTACCATATATAGTTTCATCCGATTTTCAGTTAATGGTTCACTAAAGCTACAAAATATGGCCGATTACAACGTACAGAAGGTAGTATAATCTACTGTGTGGAAAGTTTCGTTGAAATCGGTTCAGCTTTTGATTCGTCCGATTTTAAGTAAATTGTGCAGCAGACCCAAAGTTAGTCCGGTTGCTACAAAATTTTGCACAATATTCTGAAGTTCGTATAGCCTAACGTGTGTTTAGTTTCATTCAAATCGGTTTTGATATATCTACCATATATATTTTTTCGTCGGATTTTAAATAAGTAGTGCAGCAAAACCCAATAATACGGCTTGCTGTGGAGCTGTTCATAATATATTTCTAAATAATTTTTGAACCCTTAAAATCCTGACGAAGCCTAAATAATGTTTTTTGTTATTACATAAATAAAAACTATATTTCTTGACAACAACAAAACTAACAAACATTTCAACAAGTTCAATATCCTTCATTAGTTGAAGTTTTTCTTTTTTTAAACAAATTCCATTATAAAAGTAATTAACACTTACCACATACTGCCAAGAATATCAAAATAACGGCAAACTTGATGAGACCATTTAAACTGCTGTTGCTGTTTTTGTTAAACGCAAAGATAGACCATGGAAAACTGTTGCATTTTGTTTTACCATTGTTGTTGTTGTTGCTGCTGCTCATGTTGTTATTATTATGGCTAAATTGTTGTCTTGTTGGCCTGATACGATTACAGTCTCTGTTGGCGACATTATAATCGTTATTGTTGCCGTTGCAGCTGTTTGCCAATGATTTTGCTGTTTTTGTTGTCTTCATCGTCATCATCAGCATCGTTGGTGCCGTTGCTGTTCTTGACGATGCTGATGTGGCAGTGGTGGTCGTAGTGTTCATGTTGCATGTACGGCCATTATTCGCACAGTGCATATAATTAGAATTGTCCTCAGTGGACGACGATAATAATGGCGAGGTGGTGGCGGAGGAGAAGGTGGACGATGACGACAACAAGGCTGTGGACATAGTTGACGGCGACATTAGACAATGATTTGAATGACAACACGCTGTTGAAATGGTACAAACGGAACAGGCGGATTTTAAACAGCTGGAGTCTGACACACACCCACTGGGGATACTGTTACATGAATAGTCTGTGTAATTGCTGATGTTGTCTTTGTCATCAGTGTCGTCCTGTTGCTGCTGCTGGTCGTTGATGTTGTTGTTATTATTGTAGTTGTTGCTGCTGTTCATTTTGATAGTGTTAAACTCTAACAACATGTTGCACTTTATCAGTTGATGTTCTTCGTTTAGTTGTTGTTGCTGCAGTTGATAATTATTGTCCCAATCTAATAATGATGATAATTCGTTAGAGGCTGTTTCTACTGCACTTGACGGCGATAGTTGTTGTATCCTCCTCTTGCCTGATATGGGACTCGGTTTATTTGTTTGCATTTTTTTATATATAATGTCACTTGTTTTCACTTCTCTCTTTGTGATTTAATTTGTGGTGAACACACGCACACACTTCACTTCTTTATGACTTTCGTTCGTTCTTTGTTTTTGTTTTTTTTCGATTTTGAGTTATTTTTAGTATTCACACACAAAAAATATGCACTTTATGTCTGGTAATTTCAGAAGCTGTCCTTCAAGTTGCATAATAAAATAATTGTCTCTTGTGGTGTGGCGTGATGTGATGAATGACTACTTGACACTAATTGAGTGCAGAAAGTTGAACGATTCTGTGGTGGAAAACCTAAAAGAGAAACAAAAAATATATATTTTTAAGGTTTAATTTGTGGAGATATGTACATGAAATAATAAGAATATATATGAAGTAGAGATATGGTCTCTTCGTAAACAGTTGAATAAAAATTCATATAAATAAACGTATTGAAAAATAGTAATAGTAAAAAAAAATTTTGTCAATGTTATAAAATTTCGAAATGTTCATCAAGAGATAGAAGACAAATGATTCCCGAGCCTATATGTCATTCTTCTAAGGCTTCTAAAGTTCAAGATTTGGTATTTTGTATAAGTTTCCAAAAATAATAACAAATAACAAATATTTTTTAATATACTTCACCACGCCGTGGTACAACATTGTACATGCTCAAGGAGCTGGTTTCCATGGCCATTATTGTTTTTGAGAATATGTATAGAACGTCTTTCTGAATCGATTTATACACGTCCATGTCAAATTATAAACAAAGTAATGGTCGCATTTATGATCCGAATGAAATGAAATTTGGCATAGCCAAATTATTTGGTTCAAAGACGAACGCTGTTGAAGTTGAGAAAAACTAGGCTTAGATATGGCTCCCATATATATTTTCGTCCGATTTTATCTAAATAGTGTACCAAAGGCCATATATATCTATCGATTTGCACGAATTTTGGCGCAGCTTATTGAATTAAGTCACAAAAATTGTGTGCTGAGTATTGTGAAAATAGGTTCAGATTTAGATATAGTTCCCATATATATTTATACCCTTCACCACACTGTGGTACAGGGTATTGACTTGGTGCATATGTTTGTAACAGGCAAAAGGAAACGAGATAGACACATGGTTCCTTTTGAGAATATGCATAGAATCTCTTTCTGAGTCGCTTTATGCATGTCTGTCCGTCCGTCTGTCTGTAGATGTTAAATTGTAGACAAAGTACAGGTCGCATTTATGATCCGATTTGGATGAAATTTGGCACAAGTCACTTATTTGGCCCAAGGACGATATAGCTCCTATATAAATGTTGGTCCGATTTAAGGTAAATGGGGCACCAAAGTCCCTCTATATCTTTCGTTTTGCACGAAATTTGGCACAGAGTACTGAATTAGGTGCAGAATGATGTGTGACAAGTTTCGAGAAAATCGGTTCAGATTTAGATATAGCTCCCATATCTAGTTTCGTCCGATTTAAGGTCTATGGTGCGCCAAAGTCCGTAAATATCTTTCGATTTGTACGAAATTTGGCATAGTATACTAATTTGAGTCTATAATAATGTGTGCTAAGGTTTGTGAAAATCGGTTCAGATCTAGATATAGCTCCCATATATATATATATATATATATATATATATATATTCGTCTGATTTAATGTAAATGGTGTACCAAAGTCCCTATATATCTTTCGATTTTCATGAAATTTGGCATAGCGTAATGAATTAGGTCTAGAATGATGAGTGTTAAGTTTCGTGAAAATCGGTCCAGATTTAGATATAGCTCCCATATATATTTTCGTGCGATTTTATGTAAATGGTGCACTAAAGTCCCAGAACATCCTACGATTTCCACGAAAATTGGCATACCGTAATGATTTAGGTCTAGAATGATGTGTGTTTAGTTTCGTGAAAATCGGTCGAGATTTAGATATAGCTCCCATATATATTTTCGCCCGATTTAATGTAAATGGTGTCGTCCGATTTTACACAAAATTAACGCAAATTTTGCACAACGTAATGCTTCACCAAGGTGGGTCCCATCGGCATAAAATTTTGCACTACGTACTGAAGTTACTATAACATAATGTGTGGCAAGTTTAGTTGAAATCAGTTAAGATTTAAATTAATTTACATAATTTTGTCCCTGGTCCTTCAGAAATTTGACGTCTGTTAGGATTCAATCGTTAGATATACCCAAAGTGATGAAGTGTATCATAAAGTCCGCCCCGTCCGACTTTACTACTTTCCTTACTGGTTTATTTCTATTTTATGTAAATAGTGTACGAAAGTCCCTACATTTCCTTCCATTTGCACCAAATTAGGCATAGCGTACTGAATTGAGTCTAGAATGATGTGTGTTAAGTTTCGTGAAAATCGGTTCATATTTGGATATAGCTCCCATATATATTTTCGTCCGATTTAATGTTAATGGTGCAAAAATGTCCCTATATATCTTTAGATTTGCTCGAAATTGTGCTGAATAAAATCTGGAATGATGTGTGTTCAGTATCGTGAAAATCGGTTCAGATTTAGATATAGCTCCCATATATATTTTATCTAAATAGTGAACCAAAGCCCCTATATATCTTTCGATTTGCACGAACCTCGGCACAGCTTATTAAATTGAGTCTAGAATTATGTGTACTAAGTTTCGTGAATATCGGTTCAGATTTATATATAGCTCCCATATATATTTTCGTCCTATTTAATGTGCACTAAAGACCCAAAGATTTGTAATTCTCATAGCAGTAAAAATAATGCCCAATTAGATCCAAACTTTGAACATAGAATTTTGAACAAATTCCTCATTCAATATTACTGAAGAAATGTAATCTCCTATGGCTTTAAATCGAGATATTGAGCAGTCTCTTTATGTTTAATAGGATAGGAAGCGAAAAAAAAATATAACGTCATATCGTCAAGATTTTACCTATGCCGATTTTTCCTCCTGGGGTTTTCATATACCCACAATGGTCTTTCACCCCGAATAGGAATTTTCCACCTCCCAGAACATGACTCCGATTTTTGTCTCACAGTTTAATCGGTCAAAAATATTTATTCTAGACTCTATTCGGTACGAAATGGAAATTTGGCCTCAAACAGACAAACTCTGATTATATGATTCGTCCTTGGTTCAATTAAATAGGACTACCAGATTTCATTACAATTGCATAATAAATGCATACATACAGACGAAGACATAAAGCACCTGTCGGACTGTACTACAGAAATTGTTGTCAAATTTTGACTTGTATTCACGAATGAGGCATTTATTCACCTAAATGGCTATGTTGACAGGAAAAAAATTGTCGCATATGAAGCCTGAAAACCTCAAATTATATTGTGTGGAAAGTTAGACCGTGACCCATACGGAAGGTCTTTTTTACTGAAGAAAAAAATTCGAACCATGGTATTTCCCGAAGATGTGATCATAACTGCTTATTGATATCTTGTTATTTAATACCTTACGACTTCTTGCTTTATGACCAGGTGAAATGTTGGGTATTCTCCAATAACTCAACATCCATTCAAGATCTCCAATATAGAATTTGTAAGCCTATCGAGTAACTAGGACAGTAATTTTGCGATTTTGGTTTTATGGAAATTTTTTTTGGTCCTATAATCGCGCTAGTGTTGTTTTTAATTTATTACAGCTGTCCGCTTTGGATACCGAAACAAAAAACTTGACAAACTCTGTACAACGAAATGAGTTTGAAACAAGTAAAAACATCAACCCGGCCGAAGTTTTTTATTCTCCAACACGAGATGCATATCCAAAATTCCTAAAATCGATCGGGACTTGGAGGAGAAACCGATATTACAGACTATTGAAAATGACGCGGTACGGTTGAAAAAGATGTATGAAATAATCAAAAAACCGAATAGTGGGGTTGCTGTTTTACGAAAACCGATTTTGGAAATTTTCGGTAGGATTAGAACCCAAAATATAAAATTATAGTCAATCTTAACTCTTGTGAGTATAGAAAATGACGCGGTACGGTTGAGAAAGATGTCTGAAATCCTCAAAATACCGAATAGTGAGATTACCGTTATAGTGAAACCGATTTTGGCAATTTTCGGTAGAATTATAAGCCAAAATATAAAACTACAGTCAATTCGGTCAAAAAATGTGACCGAAATACCGAATAATGTAGGGTACTTTATATGGGAACTATACCAAAAAGTGGACCAATGTATCTGATTTTATTACAGGTTTAGTTGAATAATAGACCGCCTAGATCCTCTGCTTCCGGCAATTCATAGAACTTATATAATGCTATGTGAGCTGCTGATTTTGTTCAAACTTCTCTCATTGTAATTGATGATATTAAATTTAGAGTACGGTCCAATATTTCTTATTCTTCTGACACAATGGGACATCATCAGCAGTCACCCCGACAAACATTGGAGAACTTGGTAGGTTTGTTCAACACTGAAAAAAGTTCAAAGAAGGATACTATCTGATTCCTATATACCCTCAGCATATGGTTTGCGGAGGATGTTGACCATTTGTGTGAGAGATACCAGAAGGAATGGACCAATGGGTCCTATCTTCGGACTTGATCTAGACTTGGTAAAGATAAAAG